TAGTGCTTAATATGTAGTTGTTGCTGTCAGTTGTCATCAAGTCACCTCTGACTCATGGTAACCTTATGTGTAAAACAACAAAATGTTGCCTGGTTCTATGCCATCTTCATGGTTATCGATAAGTTGAGTCCAATAATATATAGTTGACATGCAATACATACTTATTGCTTGGTAACAACATAAACATCCCCAAGAAGGCACCAAATATACTGCCACTGAGTTGATTCCAACTCATAGCAACCCTATGTGACAGAGTAGAACTCTAGAATAGGGTTCCCGAAGCTGTAAATCTTTACAGAAGCAGACTGCCTCCTCTTTCTCCCACAAAGCAGTTGGTGGGTTGGAACCACCAACCTTTGGGTTAGCAGCCGAATGCTTTACCCATTATACCACCAGAGCTCCTTTCAATAAGGCACAGCATCACAGAAATTGCATGAGCAGCCTGTGGACAGCCATACTGGAGAGGAGTAATAAGAGAATAGCTCTTCTCTGGACCAACTATGCAGGTTTGGCTTTGTGAGCAATCTCAAACTTACATGCATGCAAAATAAATGTTGAAGCTTGAGGAAAAATTTTTATCCAAATTTTTTATATTTATATATCAACATAAAAATTAAATTTTACTACTGTATGATGGTAATACTTTTCACATAAATTCCTTGGGAACAGAGAAGCTATATAACACACAATGTGCCACCTCTACTTACATACTCAGCTTCCTCCACATCCCCCATCACCCAGCCTTTCACCTCCCAGCCTCCTAGCCCACACTACATATGGGTGTTTTTCAAGGTTATGCATCTCCTCTGGGGCTTCCCATGGGTTGTTGCAGGCTCACTGTACCCAGTCTATCCCCTGCCACCTATCTTCCCACCCTGTCAGTTAATGAATCAGAACTGGAGAGAAGGTGTTTCTAGCATGTACCATTGCAAATTACTGGAGGAAGAATTCCTAATTACCAACATCCTCCCACAAGTGGAATTCTCCTTCCCTCCCCTGTGCTTTTGGTTTTCAACCCTGATTTGGGCTCCCTCCTTCCCTCCCAGACTGTCTCCTGCCTCAGGCTGGGAGTTCTCTGTTTCCGTTTCATCCCTTTTCCATACCTCTGGATAGGGATGTATCCAGGAACCCAGGCCAAAACCAGCAAATTTATCACTGTGCTAATGACAGCAAGCTGCATGCTGAGTGAATTCTGCAGTCCCCCTCACCTCCTTCTTTTGCCAAAACCTGTGGTCCTGGAGATCCAGCAGATTATGGAGACTATTACCTTCACATGAAGAATGGCTCTGTTGGAAAATGCAGTTATACCATCCATAAGGCTATTTTTGGAAACTTGTTTAGTGAGATATTAAAAAAAAAAAAAAAAAAACCTGACGTATGATGGGAGATGTTGGACAGTTCACCAAAATTGACCATCACTAAACACATTTTAAAAGTACCTTTATCAAGATGTAAGGAGCTTTGGTGGCATAGTGCCTAAGGCATTTAACTGCTAACCAGAAGGAAGGAACCACTCCTCGGAAGGAACACTGGGCAATCTACTTCTGTAGTGATATCACCTTGGAAACCCAAGGAGGGGTCGCTATGAGTTGGATCCGACTCCACGGCAGTGAGTTTGGTTTGGTGTGGTATCAAGATGTAACACTGTAAAGACCCATTTTTTGTCCCATGGGGTGCCTCATTATTCTTAGAATAAGTATTTATGTTTGTGGAGTTTATAGAACTCTCAGTCCTAGTAGCTAAATCTCCCTCTTTATTTATATGAGCAGCTCTTCCCAGGCCAAGGGCTGTAGAGACTCCTTAACCTTGTCATTCCAAAAAGGTTCTTAGGATTTGAGGAAAGGGAGCCTGGTCAATCCAGTGGGAGCAGAGGAAGTTATAATGTACTAGGCTGAGCCCCTACTAGGGGCAGAGCATACAGGAGGTACATAGTTGAAGAGGCTCATTTTTGGGGAGACACCTTGTCAGAGAGACACGTTGTTTGGGAGGCATTCTATTGAGGAGGCATGTTGTTTGGGAGACACAGGGTTGAGGAGGTATGTTATCAAGCAGGCATCTTGTTGGAAAGTCTTATAATCAAGGAAGAACATAGTCTGGGCAGTATATTGTTGAGGAGATTTGCTGTTGAGGAGCCTGCTGGTGAAGAAGGCACACTGTTGGAGAGGCACTTTTCCAGAGAAGAATGCAGCCCAATGTGTGCTCTACAGGATCAAGTCACTGTCCATTCTCACAAGGACAATGGCACTTAGACATATAAGAGGCTCATAGAGTAAGGCACCTGTGCCATGTATCCAGGAAGAAAGCAGAGCACCAGTGCATCATTGGTTCTCCATATTGTGGAAGTGAGAAAGACTTAATGACTACTGTAATTGAGAGACGTTTCTAAATAGTGTATTGTATTTGTACAGCAGTAGCTCCTTTTATTTGACAAATCCATGTGATGTGCTTTTTTTTAATGCAAGTCAGCAATGTTTGGTGTACACTGGAGTCTCAGTTCCACACCACCCCAATGACCCCCCAACTTCTTTACTCCTCAGACAGAGACAGTAATGGTTATGTTGCTCAGAGTAGGAGACAGTACCCATCTGTGGCTGTGGCTGGCCCAGATTTCAGATTCTTCTGTTGGCTACAGGCTTATCAATACTCATCATTGGACCAGGTTTCCACTTCTCCAAACCCTCTAAACATACTTCCTAAGCCTTCCCCTCCCTCACTTGGAATTAGGGTACAATTCATTGCTTATGTCCAATTCTTGCTTCCTCTCTGTGCATAGCTCCTTTTACTATGCTGTTCCAGAGAAAAGAGTAGGTCCAATAACTGAGTTACAGGGAAGCAGTTTTCAACTTCATTCAAGTCATTCCTTATATATAATGTAGTGAATGGAATAGCCTGGATTCTAAGTATGAGTTAAAACGACCATTTCATTCTGTAGAATGGATTCTTCAAGTGGGTGGGAAATTTAACTGAATGACTTCTGCTATCCCTTCGAACCATAACATTCTAGGGATGTTCTAGAACTTTCTGTGAGGGACACGGTCTCCTGTGACTTCTCCATAGTGTACTAATCTTTTGTAGACTCAGCTCAGCCGTAACTTCTGAAGTGCAGAACGTACTTCATGTGAAAGAAGAAATATATTAAACAAAAGAATGATGAAGTTCCCAGGCTTTCTCAGAATCTCCCAGTGGCTTGATCACATTCCCCCAAACAGGACATGAGATACAGACAGCTCTGACATTTTAACAAGTGTGCTGAGCCCTAGGACATAAACAAACCCCAAGGCGGCTTTTTCACCCATTCCTCAAGCACAGAATCATGGAGTTTTAGAGAGAGAAGAAGCTTGGAGGTCATTTTGTCACAACTCCTACCCAGGGCTGGAAGTTGTACTCTAACAGTTCAACAGATGGTCACCCAGCTTCTGCTTGTGCACTTTCAAGAAGAGGCTCACAGTTTTCCCAAGAGATTGAGTCCATGGTGAAACAACTTAATCCATTTTGAGGCAGTCCTTATTATGAGATGTTTCTTCCTCTTACTGAGCTCCTGAGCTACCTTCATTTGACTTGCCTTCTGTCCTCTGTCATAGGACAAAAGAAGTGGGACCTCTTGTCCATATGAAAATTTTCAGTTATTTAAAGGCAACTATTATCTCCATACCTCCTCTCCTCCATACTGTCTTCTCACTCATGGCCATCAAGTCAGATCTGACTCATAGCGACCCCTCCCTGGGTTTCCAAGGTGGTATCACTACAGAAGTAGATTGCCCAATCTTCCTTCTGAGGAGTGGCTGGTGGGTTTGAACCACCACCTCAAATATTTCTTAGATGACAGGGCCCTCAGCAAACTAGTTACCATCTTTTGAATATTTCCTACTTTGCTAATGTTCCTTGTGAAGAGTATCTCCCAGAACCAAATACCAACATAGTCTGACCACTGCAGAGTACAGTGGAACAATCACCTTCCTGATCCACACACTACATCTTTATTAATGCAACCTAGAATTGTATGATCTTCATATTAAATGATCAACCTATTAGGTCAGATTAGGTTATTATCATCTAAAACCACCATCTTTTTATTTGAGATGGCATCATATGACTTAAAGAAGGAAGTGAATTTAAAAGTGGTCCTATAAGTTAGAGAAGGATCAAATCTGCTTCCCCTTCATTAATAAGAGACAGAACTGTTTACGAGATTAGACTCCTAGCAAAAGTTATGAGTGATTGTTGTCGTTGTTGCTGTAAGTTGGCATAGAGTCAGTTCCAACTTATGGTGACCTCATGTGTGCAGAGTAGAATTACTCCATGGGGTTTTCAAGATTGTGACCTTTCAAATGCCCATCAGCAGAGGAATGGATCAATGAACTATGGTACATAGACACAATGGAATACTATGCTATGTTACAGAACAATGATGCATCTATGAAACATCTCATAACATGGATGAGCTTAAAGGGCATTATGCTGAGGGAAATTAGTCAATCACAAAAGGACAAATATTGTATGAGACGACTATTTTAAAAAGTCAAGAAAAGAATTTCACACACAAAAAAATATTCTTTGATGGTTACTAAGGATGGCTGGGGGAAGAGGGTTAAAAAAAAAAAAAAAAAAAGACTCTGGCCCTTCAAAGCAGATCACCAGGCCTGTCTTCAAGGCACCTCTGGGTGGGTTTGATCTGCCAATGTTTTAGCTAGTAGTCAAGCACTTAAATGTTTGCACTACCCAGGGACCTACAAGCACAGAATGAATGAGGAACCAAGAGAATTTAATCCAAAGATAAAATGTGTATTTACATTGATGCACCCAGGCTTCTGCCTTTGCAGCCACTTCTTCCACCACAATCCAGAGCCTAGCAGGCCTCTTCTTTGGAGCTATACCCCCTGTTGTCTCCCTGACACTACCTAATTTTTCTTTTTCTTAGATTGCCACATTGCTTCTGAGGCTGACATTTCCCTCCAACCCATTGGAAACTGATGAGTGGTTTTCCTTTGTGTCTTTGACAGGTCACCTAAAGGAAGAAATCACCCAGCGGCATATGCAGCAAGTAGCTCTAGGTGGGTACAAAGTGAAGTCTGCAGGAAGAAGGTAAAGGTAATTAATACAAGCTAACATGGTCTTGGAAACCCAAGCTCTGCTAAAACATAATCCATTTAAAACTCATAAAAAGGTTAACAAAGGTAAGGTCTGCTATCAATGCAGTCTCCTTTAGATATACCACCTCTGTGAGACGAATTTCCCCAACCTGTCTGCCCACTCCTGGTTGTCAGCACCTGGCATCTCACCCTTCCAGCTGCCTCCTCATCCTCCTGACATTTTCCATCCCAAAATCTACCCCTCTGTGTCCCAGTCCCTTGTGGCCTTACTCTGAGCTTTCTAGAGCTACTGTAAACTTAATGATGGCAGTGACAATGAATGATGACAACAGCTACCATTAACTGGTCTACCCAATGGTTTCCGTGCACTGCTTTATGAGTCCCATCTCCTATGATCCTCACAACAGCCCTTGAAAAAATCAGTTGCCATCAAGTCAGTTCCAACTCATGGTAACCTCATGCATGTCAGAGCAGAGCTGTGCTCCGTAGGGTTATCAATGGCTGATTGTTCAGAAATAGATCACCATGCCTTTCTTCAGAAGTGCCTATAGGTGAACTCAAACCTCTAACCTTTTTTTTTTTACATTTTTTTATTATTATTGTGATTTGGGTGAAGATTTACAGAGCAAATTCACTTTCCATACAGCAGTTCACATATACTTTGTCTCATGTCAAACCTCTAACCTTTTGGTTAGCAGCCAAGATCATTAACCATTTGAACCACCCAGGGACAGCCCTATGAGGTAAGTGCATTTATCAGATGAAAATGATTCAGTGACTTGCCCGAGGTCACATGGCTAGTGAGTGTTGAAACTGGGACTTGAATCCAGTTCTCTCTGAGTCCAAACTTGGTGCTCCTGGCCCAATACTGTCTACTGTTCACAACAGTAATGGATCCACTTCAGTATCTTAGGAATGCAAACACTATATTAAACCAACATGATCATGCAGTAAGAAGCCCTTGGCCCATGTAAGCAGTGGACATCTTCAAAAAATACCCCTATTTGATATGTGGTCCAAGGATGTCTCCTGGGAGGAAAACACAGTTCCCAGAAAAGCTGGTGGATCAGGCATCCTGGGAAGGACCGCCTCATTTCTTCTCAAGCTAGCCTAGATCCACTTGCAGAGAGTTGATTAAATAAGAAACTCATGTATTCTAAACACGGGGGTTCCCCTTGAGATGGCTTGGCCTCTGAAATGACCTGTAATTAGAGAAAGCCAGCACCCAGCGCCAAGGGTGGGGAATTGGAAGAGATTCCCTAATATCTTAAGGATGATTCATTTGACCCTAGTAACATGGCTATTAGGAAAGTTGGTTGTTTAGTTTCAGTATTAATCGTGGTTTTATAAAAATTAGCAACATAGAATGAGGAATCCTAAGGCACACTGGCTAGTGCTCCAAGTTTCCCACTGTTGGCCCTGGGAATGAGGGGTGCAGTAAACCCACCAGGCCTGCCCCTCCATTTCCAAAGACTTTGGCACACACTCAGAGCCTAAACTCTGCCATGTGCCTTCAACAAAGAGCCAGGGCTCCCTAGGGCCTTAACTCACAGGGCCGGGCTCAGGAAGGGCGAATGACCTCTATTGGGAAGCTGTGCCAAGGTGACCTCCCTCCCAGTCTTCCCAGTAGGCTCCACCAACTCACTCTGGGCAGGTCGCTGGATGTAGAGTCATCCCCCAGGGTTGCCATGCTGCCCGCCTACCAGATCCTGACATCTGACCTCTTCCCGAGCCTTCATGATACTGGTTGAGTAGAAATGTCGTTGTTTTTATGTGCTGTCAAGTTGGAGCCGACTCATAGAGACCCCTCCTTGGGTTTCCGAGGCACTATGCTACCAGAGCTCCCTGAGTAAAAATAACACTGTGAAAAATACCACTCAGGTAACTCTGGAGGCAGTTTTTACCTAGGGGCTGGAAAGCCATTTACATGGGCTTTCAGGGTAAGAGGCACTCTGTCCTCTCTGCTCTCCAGTTTGCCAACCTTTCTGGGGGCTCATCTATCCAGCTGGAGCAGACCCTTGCTAGGCCTTTGGAAAACTGCTGAGTGTTTTCATTCACAGGATTTTCCAGACCACATCACTCCATGAACACACCAGTCTGAAGCAGGGGCTTTTGCCTGCATCCCTTACTCGGTTAGCTGGGCCTCCTGAAGTTCTCTTCACATCTCACTGGGAGCCTTCTTCCGAATTACAGCAGGTGTCAGGTTTAGCGAGACCCAGCTCTGCCTGAAGTAATCAGCAAACTTCAAACAGAAAGCACTTTGGTTGGAAGTCTAATTAAGAGCATTTGAAATGCCTATTTATTTTAAAAGCATACTATCCCAATTAGAGAAGAAGTGTTAACATCTCCCAGCTGCCATTTTGAGATTAAATGCCATGTTGCCGTCCAAACTCCTTAGGAGGCTGTCTGATGGAGGTTGGGAACAGCCAGTGCTCATGTGTCCCAGGTGACCACATTTCAGACAGCATTCTTCTCATTGAGAGAAACCTCTTGAAGCAACAGATTGTTTATATAGCTATTTCCTGCCTTAACCCTCAGCCTTCAGGCTGTTGAAATCTGCAAGACTGAAAACAACTCATGTATTTGGATTCCCTGATGTTCTATAATTTTGACTTCAGATGTGGGGCTAGAGCAGACTAAATACGATATTGTCCCCTTCCATTTCTTTGTCTTTGTCTGTGTTGTGTCCCCTTGCCCCTTTTATTGTTTCCTTTGCTTTTTCTTGACCATGTTCTCACCCCCGCCGTTTCAAGTATTCCTTTTGTGATGTTTCTTTGTCTTGCATAAGAGTTCCCAAGTTTCCAGGAGAGTTTAAGTGTTTGAGGGTGGCTTTGGGGAGAATGAGCAAGTCTGAGCTGGAGGAGTTGACTCATGTAATTTGCACGTGAATATGTCTTTATGTGTGTAAGTACACATGTGCCCAGGGAAATTTGTATTAAAAGGCATTCCTATATCCCAAAGAAGGAGCTCTGGTAGCATAGTGCCTAAGGCACTTGACTGCTAACCAGAAGGCTGGCGGTTCAAACCCACCAGCCACTCCTCAAAAGGAAGGTTGGGCAATCTACATCCGTAGTGATACCACCTCGGAAACCCAGGAGGGGTCTCTATGAGTCAGGCCCGACTCAATGGCACATAACAACAACAATATCCCAAATGAACAAAAATTTAGTGATGGCATGAGAGCCACCAGTTAAAGAGATGATTGCAGGAAGTCATGTCCAGGGGTGTGCTGGGGCCAGCTCACTCCAGATAATAAGAGCCAATTGTTAAAAGTTTCAGGAATTTTGTGAGCCAGCTATTAAAAACAGCCATTGCTAAACGTTAAATCATATAAACCTACAAATTAATAAATTATATTCAAAGCACAGATAAATGCTCAAAACTTAATCACTTCCTAGTTAATTTACTACATTTTAGAATTATCTATGCTCTTGAGATTACTTAATCTATTGTATACCTGTGATACAATACAGAATGGTGTGCTGCTGTGTGTCACTTTCCAACTCCACATTCTGTGACAAAACACCAGGAGCTGGCAACCAGCCACCGTGGGAGTATTTACACCATAGAAATTGGCAAGTGTTACAAAGCAGGACTTTTTTTTCCCTCCACAGTGAGCTAGTTATTAAACATTTACCAGCACACCACTGGCATATACACAAGTACTCACGTAAGAAGGCCAGCTCTGTGCATGTATGTGTACATGAAAATTTCTACACCCCTTCCCTGCTGAAAATACAGATTATGACTGCATCGTCATTTACTGCCCACCCAAGTTACATCAGCCTCCTTGAACCATGGTCCTTGTGAAAGTCAGTGGGCGGAAAAACAACTTAAAGATAGGAGTGAGGCAGGAGAAGCATTGGGTCCAGTGAGCCCTGGATGTGACAGCCAGAGCTGGGGGCAGACAGTGGTCTCCTTTTCAGAGTAACATCAATGACCACAAGTTGACCAGTTCAACAAACTTGAGAAAGCTACTGATGGACTCAGAGTAGTACCTACTCCCACACACTGTTTCTCATAACAATGAGACAATGTGATTTTTAAAATAACATCATTTGGAAATGATACTAATGTAACTAGATTCACCTAGCTGAGTTCAGAGTGCTATGCTGAATTCAGTTGTGTTTTTACAACTTTATTGTATTGGCTGCCCTAAACTGTATAGGGTTATCGATAATGCAGATGAGACTAACCAGCAAACCCTTCCTGAGTGTTTACCATGTGCTAGGCACAATTCTAAGCTGTACTTGGAATCTGTGCTTTCTTCTTAAGTGTTCACAATCCTATGAGGTAGCTACTTCTATGATCCCCACTGTACAGTTAAGGCCCAGTGGGGTTAAGTAAAGGATCTCTGGTGGTATAGTGGTTAAAGCATTCAACTACTAACCAAAAGGTCAGTGGTTTGAACCCACCAGCCCCTCCATGGAAGAAATAGGAGGTAATCTGCTTCCATAAAAATTTACAACCTTGGGAACCCTATGGGGCAGTTCTACTCTGTCCTATAAGGTCACTATGAGTCAGATTCAACTCAGTGGCAGTGGGTTTGGTTTTAGTTTTGGTTTTGGTTTTGATTTTGGTTTTGGTTTTGGAAGGATGCAAACTTAAGCAGCTTAACTCCTGAGCATGTGTTCCAGCTACTACAATACCCTGTTCTTAACACTTTGTTGGACATCGTAGAGCCCACAGAGGGCATAGAGCAGATACCTGCCCTCAAGGAGTATCCAGTCTAGCCACAATGAGGCAATATATACATGAAAAGATAACCCCTCTCGTTAAGTTCAGACTTAATACACATACATCCCTACATGCACTGTCTTCTTCCCACTGTACCCTCAAAATCAATTCAACCTTGACCTCCTCCAGGAAGTCTTCCCTGACACTTTATCCCCCAGTTGGACTAAGTTCACTTTGTCTTCCAGCCTCATGCATCTCTGTTAGAGAGCACTGGACTTGTTTGA